AATAGAGAAAATAGTGGTGTAAATAGTCCCTCTTTTTTCCTTAGCCAAAACAAACAATAAGTATGCTTAAATTCTCAAATTTACCTTTTTATTATTATTATCAATTAATACCACCACACAAAATCCAATAAAAGCAACTATAAAATCAAAAAATAAGTAAGACAAAAATAAACTCCATAAAACTTAGCAGAGTGTTTTTCTTATAAAACTTATTTCTAAAGCAAAAGGGTTTTTAGTTAATTAAATATCTATTAAATGATAAAATTTGCAAAGTTTAAAAACTTCTTTCAAACCTAACATCCAAAATTATTAAAAATCTTACACCTATTAAAAACACACACTTAAAGAAATCTTGAAAAGAATAACTAATCAATAACAAACTCTTACTATAAGTAAATGCAAACCTCTTTAATGTATCATGTAACAATATAAAGAAAATTAGAAATGTTAAAGTAATATAAATTAATCCATTCACAATTATTAATTGGATAAACAAACAACCAATAATAAAGTAATACATTAAAATACATTAAAATCTATAAAAAGCTTTAAAGATGACTTATAACCATTTGATCTTTCTTTAATCTAGAAAAAACCTCTTTAAGCTATGAACACCAAAAGTTTATTAATGTCCAGATCTTTAAGCTATGAACAACAAGTTTATATAAGTGCCTAGGTCTTTTGAACTTTGATGACAATTCCAATACAGGCACTATGGACAATTATAAAAGAAAATCAAAATGTTTATGGTCTTTTATACATAATCCAAAAAAAAAATATTGATATAATGTTCAAGATAGCTGCCATAAAATTTTCATTCATCTTACAATTGATTCAATATTTCTTTTACAAGTTACCAATCACATTAAATAGTAAAAGATAAATTACCATACTTTTGCAACTTATCTTACCCCATATGTGGCAACTTATAATTGTTTCCTCCATCAACTTTCATTAGTTCCACTATACTACCTTATAAAGTCAAAAGACATTGTTAAGATTATTTTTTAAAAATTTACTAAAAGAATTTTCAACAACATTGATTAGCTCATCAGATTTGTTGTGAACTTTTTAGTGTTAAAGAGATTGAATAACTCTAAAAAATTCAAGATCTAAAACATTTAAATCTGAACTATTTGGTGGTTGGTATAATAATCGAATATCAAAACCATCTTTAGCATTAGCTTAAAAAAATTCAACATCATTAGGATCAATATGTAGATTTGTATTGTCTTGTTGAATATATATAGTCTCCATTGTATCACATTAAGGTCATTTGGATTGAACTGCTAGTAAAAGCTTTCAATCGAACAAGTTCATATGACATCTTTTGTCATTAACAAAATCAGTTTTGTTTTTAATGTTGCTACAATTCAATTTTTACTATTTCTCTTAACAAGCTCCTTATATACAAAAGTAAAAATACCAAAATTTCGTATGAATTTAACATTACTTGTTGTATCAAATCTTGGCTGAGCTACCGCAATTAGAAACATAACTTTATGTGATGAATCGCTTGCTTTTACAAGTATGTAGAGCCTCATTTTCTTTATGAAGCAGATAATACTTTTGTGATTCTTGAAACATATAAACTACTTTTTACCAATTGTATAAGATTAAACATATCATTAATGGGTATATTATTTTCACTATTGGTAAAATTGAGTATTGATACGCAAAATAGCAACCTTGTCTTCTTATTTTCATCAATGCATTTAAATGTGATATGACAAATTCTTCTTTAACATGCCTATGAAATGTTGATTTTGGCACATTCAATGCCTTTGTCAATAATCGAATATTGGTATGGTGACACAAAGGAACTTCAGATACTTTAATTGGATCAATTTAAATTCTTTTACATCTAACATTTCCCAAAAGCTTGGAAGATACATCAATTGCCAATCCATTATCTCGGAAGTATTTTGTTTGTTTCCAAATTCTACCAATTATCTTTGAAGAAATAGAAAACATGAAAGCAAGAGTGGTTAAAAAGCCTTTTTGTAGGATTATCTTGTTACTTTCCTTTAAGCATCTCATAAATGGTTTGGCATTATTGGTTCGCTCTTTTAAATTTGGATAGAATATAATCTAATTGTATAAAAGAATCCATATATCATTTGAGATAAAGATAATAATTAAAATAAAAAATTTTTTTCTTAATAATTGGAGATGAAGTGTGAAAAAAAAAAGTAATAAGTTATCCTAAATTTTGAACAAGACGACTACTTTACATATTGCTATAATTCTTAGTTTTAAAATAGAGGTTTTGGTTGCCATGAAAAATGAAAATATCTTACATTATAATTAGACCTATTTAACGGTTGAGTTATTCATTCAAATTCGAAAGCCCGTTCAAGTTTCTGAAAAAATTGGAGTAAAAAATTAAAATCCATTAAATGAGTTTGGAAACAATTTTTAAACATATTTTAATTTTGAGCCGAGTCTTGGACAAAAGATTTAATATCGAACCGAACCCACCTCGGCATGAATTAATGTATATATAAATTTTTTATTTATATAAATGTGAATTATATATAAATTAATTCACATATATATCAAAAATAAAAAATAAAAAATTATATATTTTTTATTAAACTTAACTTTTATTTTTATATAATTTTTATTTTTAATTTTTACATATATAATTTTAATTTTTAATTTATATATATGAACTAAATATAATCTCATTAAATTTAATTTAATCACATTTTTTAAAATTTTTATTATTTAAATTAAGTTTAATAGGTGGGTTTAGGATTTATTTTTTTAATTTAGGTTGGCCTTAGAAAAATTTTGAGACACAAAATTTTAGACCAGATCGGATTTAGACAAATAAATAAGTTATTAATACTAAGTATAAAACTAACCTAAACCTCGCTCGGCTTAACCTATGAACACCTCTAATTATAATTATTTTTTATCTCAATAAAGTTAGTGGTAAATCAACTAATAAGCCAAAAAAAATTAATAAATTTTATTTTAGCTTAGGAAGATGATCTCGTGTCTAAAACTTTGCAAAAAGTGGAATTTTGTCTTAAAGTAATTGACGCCAAATGTCAAATATTTATTAGTATTAAAAACAAATGTAAAGGATAAAAATGAACTTGAATTCTAAATTTTGAATAAAAAATTTAAATATAACTTTTTAAAATTTTGTGCAAATCTTTAGTGGACAAACATTAAGAGATAGAGGAAGTATATTATTTCACCTTATATATCATTTTAATTTGATGATAAAAGTTTTTTATTTTTTTAAAATAAAAATTAAATCATTATTTAAATAGTAATCTAATAACTCTTAATGATTTAAAATTACTATTGCATAAAATCATCAAATTCTTATTAAACATAGATATCATCATATATATATATGACAACAAGCTTGAGAGGTTGTATTTGTGTCAGCTGTACGAAAGGGCGCAAAGATATGCAGAGGCAGATGAGATCAGATTGGCTAAGAAAAATGGCAGAAATAAGGAACAAAGAACCACACTATAAGCATCAAAAGGAACCCTGTTATAAGCATCACCATTGAACTCCCAAGAGCCCATATTCTACATGCAATAAAAGAAGAAGGTATCTTGGAGAATTCCTCACCTCGCTGAAGGAAGAGGGCTTGACGAAACCCACAAAGGCATTGCGATTACCATTCTGGCACCGGAAGAAGGCACTGATCCTATGGATAAGTGTGTTGTGCGTCATGAATGTGATCGCCATCCAGGCAGAAGCAGGAAATGTAGCGTTTTAAAGCAGCAAGCAAGTGACCCCATGGTTATCTACTAGAAAAACTAAACCCAAAAATGCTGATGCGGAGGAATATGGCAGAAGAGAAACTAAGGGGTAGTATTGGTGAAATCCAGAAGTATATATAGTTGTGATGGCGTATATAACGTAGGCATCGGGGGTGATCTTATGAGATACTTCTAGTAAATTCCAGCAATGGAATCCTTTTTGTTCTTCACCTTATCGAGATCTTCGTTTTGATAGGTTCACTTCCTCTATACCACCATACACTAACATCAGGGGTGGCTCTTCTCCTTTGGTCCTTTTTTTCTCCCTTAAGCTAGAACCCTAAAAATAGATTTTTGAAACCTTAAATCCTCAGATATGCCATGCACTCAACTTTTTTTCTTTTAATTCCCTATATTTTTGGTATTTAGGTGGTTGTTTTTTTTCTATTGAGAATATTGAGATTTTTTTTTTTTAGTTTTTAAAATGTTGGATGTGGACTGCTAAGAGGAAGGTTGTGATATAGTTTTTTTCCATTTTAACTGGAAAATGATATTTTTTGGATGGTTTTCAATTGTTTGATCTTTACATTTCTTTTTTTTTTCTTTAATACTTCTCAAAATGAGGGAAATTGCTAAGCAGAGTCTCAGAGAGTTATGTTAGAAAGAAAATGGCTACATTGGCTGTCCATGCATTTGAACTTGGGGAATGTGCGGTTGGCGGTGGATATACTGATTAGGCATCCAGTTTTTTTAGTAACACCTTTTATTAACTTGGATCCTTTAGGCTTTCTTATATTGGGTTAATTCCATGCAGTCATATTACTTCCACTTGTGCTTACGGGAAACAAAAGGCATTGGGTTGGGCTCAAACTATGATATGTTCTCTTACTTAATCAATTAACAACTAATTAATCAATTTTAAATCCAATTTATTCATTAATTATCTAAATTGAGCTGAACCTAATCCAGATATTATAACTAATATTCCTTGGCTTAATTTATGAGTTATTTTTTTGCCTCAATTAGAAAGACTTTTTGGTATATAATTGCTAAAATGTTGCATGCTTGGATACATAACATGCACTAGAAGGATGCCCGAGCTTCGCTTCAAGACTTTTAATAACATTTGATTAAATTAATTTGTAAAATGTGAAAACATTTAAAATGATAATAAAAAAAATAAAACATTGAACAATTAAAATGATACGAAACAACTTTGTTTTCCAATTATGAAATGATTTGTAATTTTCTAAACTGTCTCTATTTCTTGCATGATGTATGACGTGCAATTTATGGGCAAATTCATGGCACACTATGCCTTCCATTTGAAATGCAATCCTTGCCTACACTGCTCATAATGGAATCGGTTGACCTTACAATAGATAGAAGATAATGAAACAATTATGACGGCTTACCACTAGCAAGCTATACCATCTTTAAGATACTTTGGAAGCTGCCTAAATGGAATGCCCCAAAGTTTTGATAAAAAGGGTAGAGTAGTAGGCAAATGAACAATGCCTGCACTAAACATGGTATAATCACATTAACATCCAACCAAGATCCAAAATAATACGACCATTAAAAGGAGACTTTAAGTAAAAATTGCCACAAAACCTAATACTGTAACTCAATACATAGTACTTACTTGAAATGAAGAACCATAGGAATTTACAACAAATAGATCTATTGAACCACCCTGCAACCAATGCAAGAAAATATTCTTTAATACAATGCATGCACTCACACAATTTTCTCAACCTTTTAAGTTACAATTTGACCAATAAAATGCAGGGACTTTCCAACAGTAAACATCAAACTTTTAATCGCTGTGCGGCATCCAAAAAGATTACTTCTTGCAAATGATTAAATATCACATGTTACATAAATGCATTATATAGAAATTGGAAATGGTTAGCTACTTAGATTTCAGTAAGAAAACCAAGAATCTTAAGCTCAATATCAGCTGCTTGCAATAAAAAAGAAACTATCATTAATAGATTCCAAAATATCCCAGCTTCCTCCAATGAATGACCAGTGCTGCATCCACTGCAGAAGTAAACATAAGTAACAAATCTAATTCTTAGCACCTGGCATAGGAAGAATCATTAAGGGAAAATTGGTAATTAGACATTATAAAAAGGTTGTGACAATGTATTAAATCACCATAATCCAGGCTCCATTTGGATAGGCGGCCAGTGCAGCTCCTACCACACTCAACATCCATCCAGAAGAACCTTGAAACTAATAAAAATATATATGTATTATTTGAATTAAATCAAAATAATGTTAGCAACTATAACATAGATTTGCCTTCAAAATTAGTAGATTCACACAGAAGATGACACTATAGTAATATGAGTTAGTTGTGAAATGGAGAATGTATCGACGAATAAGAGATGCAAAGAAACTGCTTTACAATTGGACATCTTAGGTTGTTCTTTTTCATAATGAAACTCAAAGCGTATCCTGGATATGCACCCACCAATGTCTTTCCCAAAACTGTCACAATCTGTTTTCAACCCAAGAAGATAGATGAAAAATACTTATAAGATCACTAAGTTCATATAGAACCAAAAAAGGAGGCTTACCTCTACATATATTTTTGAGGTGCCTCCTGATAATGAGTTTTTTTGTGCGAATAACAAAAGCATAATCACCACAAATGACTTCTTGAATTAATACAGCCATGCGAAGGTCTTCGTGATTAAGTTTAGCTTTCCTACAACTAACATATGCTCTTTCATTCCACTTTGAAGCCTGAACTTGCATATAGTGGAAAAAAGGTCTCTTCAAGAGGGCGTGAATCATTTCGATAAATGACAAAATTGTTTTATAATTTATATTTCCAAAAGCTTTTAAAAGAAAATTTAAAATCCAAACATTTTACGACAATTAACATGTAAGAATTTTAATTAGTAATGGGCAAGACCAACACAAAGCATATGGTAATATACCAAAACCAAAAGTAGTAGTTGAGTTGCAACTACAATTAAAACTGCATACCTGTCATCATCTGATTTTACCATCCAGCTAGGGTTTCTTGACTGCCCTGAATGCTCTTGTTCTATCTTTCTCAGACCTAGCCTTATCAGCATATCCAAATAAAGCAGCCATCTTTTTCACCCAATATCTTGGGGGTGGTTTGTCCAAATCTGCCCATTTATAGTCTTCACCAAGGTTTGGGAAACAGTGGATAAAATTGCAGGCGGTTCCACAAGAACATGTCTGTTAATATGAGACAAAACAGATCATCAATTGCAGAGAAAACTCATTAAGAATTAGCATCAATAAAAAGCACAATGATTTTGATGGTCTTTTTCATTCATTTTTTTTTTCAATAACTCAATCCAACATACCATGGATAGTGGCAAATAACAAATGCTAATGAAGAAAAGTGTTACATAAAATGAGGAAGATGGAAGTAACTTAAATCTTAACTTCATAAATTCCGCACAAATGGCAACCTTCCATTTGGTAATGTTAACAAACTCACATTTTACTTATCATGAATCCATCACCCAAAGAGAAATCGTAAAAAAAAAAGAATTTTAGAAACAAAAAAACAAAAATGCTAATGGATATGATAATTGGTTTTATATTCTTAACAGCTGGCCATGCATGTTTGCATCTCTGGACAATAATGTAGTGGTCATGCATAATAGCTCTATCAAAAAATATGATTGCAGGCAAATATTTCATTTGTGGTTTATAACAGAACACATGAAACAGGTGTATGTCACCTTCAAAACTTCAAGGTGATTTTTGAAAACTTGTAAAGTCAAAGCTACTTTGCTCTTATTTGCAATATTGCAGCGTCTATGAATGAGTTCCTAAATTGACAGTGGTGTGATATATGGCACACAACCATTTATCACCCTTAAACACCAACCATCTTGCTACCTTCACCAAAGTAAATGTTGCTGTTGTTAGTTTGATTTCTCTCCTAAAATTTCAAAAACCTTATACCTTATTTCTAGCCACTTATTTGTACTCAGTAGACACAGCCAATTCATTTTGTTGTCCTGCATTACATCTGAACCCTTTTCCCTATGATCCAATACCTAATTCCCTGAGATTTCCATGCCTAATTCAAGTGAAAGAAATATATGGTGTTTTTTAAAACTATCTTACAGCATTAAAATCAATTTAAATCCTAAAGTTTAAAAGTATCTTAGTTAAGGAATTAAGATTAAAATGTGCATGGGTTCAGGAAAAAACTCAAGTATCTTATTTTTCAGAATTAAGTTCACGTTTACCTTAATTTGGTAAATAAAATTAAAGAATGTCTTGACATAGGAAAAAACGTTAAGTAGAACAACATCTCCATCTGTAGAAGAGAATGAATTGTTAGTACTTTATCGGTGATTATTCTTGTTTCAAACAGATATTAGAAAATTTTATGGCAAACCTGGGTTGTGTCCGGATTCATGGTGAAAATTGCTTCCAGAAAATTACCTAGAAAAGCAACCATAATTAAAGCACCCAAAATCATTATAACACCAATGATGCTAAAATTTTGAGATGATGAGGCCAACCATAAGAAGCATAGTAGAGATGTATTCATGAAATGGGTATTTCCTTCTCAAGCTAGGGATGAAGGCACCCATGATCATAACTGGCAGCACCTAAAATTCTTGACAATATTGTCAGAATTAACACAACAAAAGAGAGCATTACGTTGCAGAATGTTACAATAGCTTCAGAAAGAACAATATACACAGTTTTTGACTTGTTACCTTTGTAGATTTAAACATAATTTGTGCAGGGTAGTTAAGGTAGGCCAGTGAACCCTTTATTAATCCATGAGAACCCATGAGAATAGCAGATAGTTTTACATATGTTTTCCGTGGATTGACCATTTGCTTCATAGTGAAGCCTTGAAGCCGTATCAATATCAGGTAAACAAATCCTTGGACAAAAGTAAAATAGCATCCATAGCTAGAACATTTGCAAGATTTAAGTCAATAAAAATCCAAGTATACATGTGGAAGCTGGCATATTTCAAGAAATACATATTATAAACAAAATGTGGGAAATTTCTGATGACTGTACCTGAACTAAAGCCTTTTATACACATATTCCTACAATTAAGCAAAAGAACACATAATCATCAGATTGAAAAGGTAACTTTTTTTTAAGTTACACTCATAATCATATATTACATCATATCTAATAAACTAACAAATTATATCATATCTAAACATCCAAATCCACACTCGTTGAGACTTAAACCTAGAAGCTCAAGATTTTAAGACCTTTTTCTTAACAATAAGCCAAGGCCTCATCGGAGATTGAAATGGGAACTTAAATACAATAAAACAGTTTAAAACATATTCATTGAATAATTTGACCACAGAAATCAACTGGTCAAAATAGTGAAATGGTAAATACGGAGAAAATACTTGAAACCAACGTTTCAACTAAGCTATTGCCAACTTTTGACAACCAAAAAAAAATAATAATAATAATACTATTAGAAATTCCTAACTCTCTTCCTCTTCCATGATTTTCGCAGCAAACAAACACGGAAAAAAATTCGGCATGCACGACTAGGAATTGGTCACATGCAAAGTCAAGAAACCATTGTAAATAAAATGAAAAATTTTCATAAAAGTTGCTAATTGAACACTCCGAAAAGTGGTCAAATAATGTTAAAAGACCGGAAGAACAAACCTCACAAACGATCTACACAACCCATTCTTTTTCCTATAAGAATTGCATGCAAAGCAAAACAAAAAGAATATATAAAACATGCAAAGAAAATAAAAATGGTTAAAGGAAAATTACCTAACCGAAAACCCCTTCCTCTTCCTCCTCGGATCTTCTCGCTTCATCCAGTGGCTACGTCCGTCTCTGGGAAGCATCTGGATAGCTTCAATTTATTTCAACAATACTGAAGAGAAGAGTAAGGCAGCTATAGTAGCATGAGATTGGAGGGTTTAAGTCTTAAGATTGGAGAGTTTACGTTTTGAGATTGGAGGGTTTTTAACGTTTGTTTTGAGTCAAGACAATAAAAATTTAGCAGAAGCTTCTCCCTTCAAGCTTTTTGGAGAAGCCATGTTCCCTCGATTTCCCTTTAATCCTTTTTTTTTTTTTTTTAAACATTTGTTAGGTGTCCGATGTTATAGATGTTAGTGGATAGATTTACATTAGCAATCTTAAAGGAAAGGAAAAATAATTATTAGCAATGACATTTGATCGATTTAGATGTTTAATTGAACGAGACTTGCTCTTAATTGTAAAACTTGATTGGATTGAATTGAGTTAGTTATAATACATAGATTAAAAGGTTTGAAATTAATTGGGTTCATGAATACTATTCATGAATATTTTTATTTTTATTATAAATTACATAAATTTAATTATTTATGAATTTAATTATCAATGAATTTAGTCATTCATGAATTTATAATCTCTATGTACTTATTTAATTGAGGATGAATGCACTTTATATTTAGTATCATTTACATTTAATATTTTGAGTTTAAATTCACATATACTTTTGAGTAATATAAATAATTATGAATCAAACTCAAATTTCATGAATCTAATTATTCATGAATTTAATCATTCAAGAATATATGATATTAATGAATTAGTTAATTATGGATGAATGTATTTAATGATTAATGTTATTTAAATTTAACATATCTATTAAATATTATAAGTACATATAGATCAAATCCAAATAATTATATTTTAATTTGATTTTTTTAAAAATTTCAATATGTTGTAAAAGTATAAAGTATTTGTTTTGTATAGTTAGAAGTTAAGTTTTATTTTTAGTTTTAAACATCAATATGGTTCCATTGGAATGAATTTATTGATTTGTTCACTAGAGGTATTATTTTATAAATATTTATTATTTATTTTATATTTAATAAAAATCGTGACCCGAACGGAGCCGGGTAATTTTCTAGTAATAATTGATGTCACTCCACTCAATGTGGCTACACCCGTAATTTTACACTGAACTTTTAACCTTAGGGGTTTAAGCAATGAGAAATCATAACAACTTACTAGCAGTATTAAAATATGCAAGTACTTTGAATTTATCAGCTCTATGCATACCAGTTATGTACGTTAAAGAAAAAGGAAATTACGTAACTACTTTCATGGTTGGTAGTTTTTTCAATTGGATGCATGAACAATATATAAAATAAAATTAATTAAAAGTATTTAAATTGTCATATCATTAAATGACATTTATATCATCCATTTTATCTAATATTATAATGATTTTACTTGAATTTTGTATTAATTGCTCAAATGAGTTGGCGTCTTATGACCTGTGATACCACATCGAGTCAAAAACTTTATTATAGTAAAAACAATTAACTTACCAAAAAAAAAAAAACACGAAGAACAAAACATAAAAAGAAGAAAATGAATGTCACTCAATGCCACAAAGTTCCTGTATTATACACACCAACAATGTAAAAGTACATCCAAAAACCATGTATCAATTTCTAATCATGATGTGTAAGCTATATATATATACGAGTTCAGTGGATTTTCTAGATCAAGCTATCTAATTGTAACTAGCTTCGATCAAAGGACACAGCTTCCCGTAAAATTTTTTGATATATACACCATGAAGCATAGAATCATCATAGGAGGTACAAAAATCACACCCAGTTGTTAGGAAGTGAAAAATCATGAAATCTAAAGGAGACCTCCCCAGCAGTGTCTCTCTGTAGTCTGCGATCTGGCTGCTCGCTTGTGGCTATGCTCTCATTTGGTTCTTCAGGTGGCAGAGGCACTATTTGATTGTCATTAGGTTGGTGGGCTAATCTAACTTCGGGTGGCAATGGTAACACTGACGGAGAAGGAACCCTAAGCCTGGCATTGCCAAAACCTTGGGAAACCAATGATTGATCCCACAAGAAGACATGCATTAGAATTGGCACATTGGCATGCCGGTGTAGCGAGAGCTTCTGACTTAGGGAAACAGTATCAAAGCATCGAACAGCTCCTGTTGAAGAAACCATCCATGGAAGAACCTTCTGATTTGATAATCTTGAGACAACCAGCAGCCTAGATGCACTCACTGATTCTTTGTATAGAGTGCTGAGTCCCGATCTTGTTGAAGGCAGATTTTCATCACCATCAATAACAGATGATATATAGATGAAACCCTGTTATTACAGAGAAAATAATAAGCAAATACTGTAATAAATTTCTCATATTATCCTCCAATTATTGGATGAGCACAAGCAGACCTCCCCTCGTATAATCTCTTCCAAGGTTTATTCTGAATCTTGGTTTCTATTTTAATATATCTAACTCCTAACAATTCATACCGTTATGTGCCTTGGTACTTTATGATAATTGAGACTATAGTGAGATTATATACTGATTTTCCTTTCCAAGTATTTTCATTAAGTAAAACTATGAATGTCTCCTACTCTTTATCATATTCTTCCATTAACAGGTAATTCATCCTTTAAGCAACATTAAGATTAGCTACTTTGTATAACAAGAAAAATGGACAAAGATGTCCAAACTTAAAAACTATGAAGAGATATCATGTCTTAGTTTGGATCAAGATCATGACCATTCAGATTTTCTTTCTTTCTTCTTTCTCTTGCTAAACTATTTGATCAAATTAGTTTCTCATCCCATTTTTTAAAGTATCAAGGTTTTTCATATGAGAAATATGTTAGTAATTTCTTTTCCATCCCCTTCAAATGAAATCTTAGAGTCACAATCATCAAGAATCAGATGGCATACCTCTTCTGTGCGGCTGATGGCAAAACCAAGCTTTGTGTCATCTTCTTTTAGTTTGATCTCAATTGCAATTTCTCCCACAAGCGGGGCATACCATAGACGAACTGCTCGAACAACTCCAATGTCAACCCCATGGTAGTCCTCAAAACCATATAGGCTTGCATTGGCTAGGTTTGATAAATCAGATAATGACCCAGCATTTACAGTAGCTGAGGCTGTCTCTCCGGAAATCTGCTCAAAATATTAAAGAAGAAAATTTAGTTCCAATAATCAGATGAACATGAATCATCTCCCCTAAATGGTCAACCTGAGAGAGTGGTAACCAGTACCCTAAGAATGCAGACCAGAGAATTGCCTTGAACCCTAGCCCCTTAATGTCCTACATCATGTGATGGAAGGTAAAGCAGAAAGAAGAGTGCTTAAGGATGCTTAAATTCAGTAGGACGATTCAATTAACAGAAATAATTCTGTAAACATTGTTCCATGCAGCACATATAAACATATGTGGCTACTAATGTGTCATGTTCTTTTTTTTTTTTTTTTTGGTTTTCTAACCATCTGTATCATTTAGCTACTAAAAGGCACGCTTGTGTATATAAAACTATCAAATGTTAATATCAGTGGAGCAACAACTCCCTAGTACATCAATTGAAGATATTGACTTGATACAGCTTATAACGTAAAGCTTTTGAGGCTAGGAGACTGTACCTTAGTAAGCAAGGATTCACTCTGGATATTCATGAAAACAATGGGGACCCCAGAGGCCTGAGATGCAATAAGCCAAGCATTTGCTCGAGCAAGGGTATCCTCCAAGTCATTGTATCGAGAGGCCACTCTATCTGAAGCTTTTGGAAGGAGGAGAATAGAAAGAAAACAACTTGAGTTTGGAACTGATAGTACCTCCAGCATCCTCCTCTCCCATGGATATGAGACATATCCATCCTGAAGCCTTGTCCTTGATAGTTCACTGACCATCCTGGAGTTTCTTGAAGCTGCAACGTCATTATTTAACTTTGCGTCAGAAATTAGAAAGATTGAAGAAGATTCAAACTTTTATTTTCAACAAGTTAAGGCTCAGTGCAGAACATTTATCGATAGTTCTAGAAAATTTCTATGCAATGATTAAAGTATACGGATACCCAGGTGCAAAAAGGGTGAAAAAGAAAGGATCATAAACATTCCATTCATCTAATTAAACTGATTATTCAGTTATTCTATTCAAAAGTATAAATCCAGCAACCCATATTACTGGATAAGTTGAGAACAGTGACCTTTAAGGGGCATTAAACAAGGATCATGTAGGCGTATTTAAAACTTATCGAAACATGCATTGTAGGTTACATCCATATTAGTATACTAGCATTTCAAATATCTTTTTATCATTGATGCCAGTAGAGATGAGGAATGGTAAAAAATAACATAAACTAAAATGGTTACAAATTACATTTCTGCAGGCTGTCCTTTCTCCTATTCTAAAGCATTATTGGTTACAAAGGTAGTCCCTCTACCAATTGCAAACAATTTATCTTCATCGTGCCTTCCATCATTTCAGGTTATAAAATTCTAAGCCGACAAGAGACTAAAAGGATTTTGATAAATTCCATTTTTGAACGTGTACGTCCCTAATTAGCCCTTTATCTACGCTTTAGAAGTCCCAAGGCTAGTGGAAGCCAGCAAAGATCCAACTCAGTTCCCCGTTTTCCCACTAGGACCTTTTTTTCAAGCTGTTATCTTTTCTGGTCTGAACTCTAGAGCCTACCAATGGAACTCAGGTGTGAAAAGCAAAGCAGATTTTGAAAAGTGGCTGAACTGTTTTGGTTGTAATCAAGCAAAGCAAAATTTCGGTCAATTAACAAAACAAAGAAACATCATTCATATCACGCGGTCGAGAAAAACAAATGTTTGAGAATGATAGTACACCACAAAAAAAGGAAACTAGGTTGACTATCAAGCTAAGCTTCCATTTTTATCAGAATATGGCTAGTGGTAGTGGGCCATTGTGATCATGACTAAAGTTTTTCTACATTACCTTGTCAACAAATTACAATCCACAATTATCTTACATGATTAATGAATAAATGCGACTGACTTCTTCACCTACCCATGTCAAAATCACTTGTGAGCATTAAAATTATAGTTTAACCTCTAGTAGTTTGAATGCAACTTTAGAAGTTCTGCCCTATGACAAAGGTTCTTATAAAAGATCTGATAATTTTAAATATAGAGGTGATATTATAAAAGTACGACACGAAAAAAATATGAAATAATTTGACAAAAATCATAAAAAATATTTTATATTTAATATATTAACAAAAATTTAATACGAAAATTTTTCATATTTTATATGACTAAAGACAATTAAGATACTGTCTATTTAAAAAACCAAAGTTGAATTGAAAAAAATAAATAAAAAGGTAGTCAAGCTGTTGCAATAGTAGTAGTTGCTTATTTTTTAATCATTCAATTAAACACAAAAAATAAAAAAATTGTACCAAAACTTAGGAGAGAAGCAAACGGGATCGAACATTAAAAAAAAAACCTACATATTGAAAATAAATTGGTAGCAAAAAAAATTCTTATCCATAACAAAGGATTATATCTTCAAGCTGCTTCTGAATTCCAGCTAGCAAGTGTACCCCATTGTCACCCAAAAAAGCATGGGTCACAACAAAGCAAAGAAAAATCCGATAGATTTCGTAGTATTTTGTGAAAAGGGAACACTAGGAACAGTCGTCCCAAGCACCGTGCTTTATCACTTGGCTTCTATATATTATTAATATTAATAATATAATGTGTCGAATCAAGTTTAGGCTTCCATTCAAAACTTATTGTAATCAGAGAAACATGTGTGACTAATAAGTAACTCAATTTTTGGATAAGTCTATTATAATCTTGTAGGTGTATTTGATTTGTTTATTTTATAATGTATAAAATTATAAAATTATAAAATTTAATCTAATTTGAATTAATATTTATATGATTATATTTGAATCAGATTTTAACATTTGATTCGTTTTTAAATTTTTAAATTTTAAATATTATTTAAATATAATTTTTAATATATTTAAATAAATTTAGACAAATATAATAATTTTTATTTTATAAAAAATTAAAATATATACAACTTAATAAAAATATATAATTTTGGTTGATTTTAATTTTTTTATTTTTATTCTAAAATCAAATTTAAGCTTAATATATTTATTTAATATATAAATTTAATTCAAATCAAATAAAAAATTAGATCTAAATCCAATATTATAATTTCGAATGATTTTTCAATTTTTTAATCTTGGTAGACTTGGGTGGGTTGTGCTTAATTTCTTACTGTAATTAATGAAATATATTAAAATTATTGAATTAACAAAATAAGTTTCTTAGCAAGTTAAAAAAAATAAATGAATATAGAAGTGATTAATACTATATTTAATCTTCTATGTAATAAATATTAAAAAATCTGGTTGAGATAAAATTAATCATGAAAAGCATTAAATTTTAAGCATTTCAAAATAATTATAATAAGATATTTTAAAAAACTAATATATATAAGAGTATATTAATGTTCAAATACTCCAGTTAATGATAAAAAAAATGAATTACTTGGCAATTGACTGCCGAATCAAGTAACCAATTTAAATTATAAATATTGTATGACGTGGCTTCCTAAATGTCAAATATTGAAGCGCCGTGATTGGGACGAGTGTCCCAGCATTCCACTTGTAAAAATCTTGAGTGAACCCCCCAAAAAAAAATTTAAGAATCGGGAAAGAAAAAAGTGATTACACGTGAATTAAGACTACATTTTGTACCGAACAGACGTGAGGGAATCCAATCCAAGGACAGAATCACATGTCTAAAGTCAAAGCAAAAAAATTCCGAATTTCTGTTCTTTTAAAGAAAAAAACAGAAGCCGGCGCTCGACTCGACATCCAACTCGGTGGGTAATTTGTAAAAATAAAAAATAAAAAACTCACCTTGCAACTCGAAGCACTCGGACTCAGAGCGATCAGAAAACCCGACAGCGTAATTGGGATCGGCTATAGACCTCAACATATATTGCTTTTTCCCGCCAGACTCGTTAGGCACGATACACGCTTGCAGCTGAGCGAACTCGTCGCTGCCTCGCCTAACTCGGACGAGAATCGAGGTCTCCTTATTCTTATAGGAGCTGTAAAGAATCTTCTGGACTCCGCTCTTGCCGCCTTTGAAAGGTGCCTTATGGGTGAGTCCAGAGCCAGATCCTATTCGAATCTCCTCAACAATATCCCCAGTCTGGAGCATGTCTCCGGTCCATTCGTCGGCTTTTGAGCTCCCTTTTAGACATTCGATTGATAGCACGGTCGGCGATCTCATGCTCTCCGATTGTAGGGTTCGATCCATGGGCATTTTCGGGTCGGATCGGGCAGAAAGCTATATAATTCTTTATTTAACAAAAAAAAAAGAAAAACTCCTCTCAATGGTCACCAATTCATATTCAAGAGAAGAAAAAAATATAAGAAAACTTGTGGGCTTTTTGTTTTTGTGAGACAAAAAGAAAATTAAGTAGAGAAAATCTTCAAAGAGAGAAAGAAAGAGGTTTTTTGGAAGGGAGAAGGGAGTGGGGACGTTTGGAAAAAGAAGGGAGACATGGGAATGTGATGATGATAACGATGATGGCTTATTCAATTAGTTATGTTTTAAAGGGCAAATATGGTTTGCAAAAAACGTTGAACTTGAAAGAAAGGAAAAAAAAGAAAAAAAGAAAAATGGAAGCGATGGGTCAAAAGGCAATAATGTAGAAATAGAAATGGAATGAAAAAGAAGTTGAATATGTATGAATGCTAAAGGTACGGAATGATAATTTCGGGGAAATGTGCAGGCACGGTAGTAGTACCGAAGCCTAACCCCCTCGTTGTCTTCTTCTCTGGTACTTTATTTCACCCAAAGTTAATATATATATATATAAAGGGAGGATTAATTTATATTAATATAAAATTTTTAGTTTTATACTATTTTTAATTGGTGAATTTAATAAAATTAAGAGATAAAAGAGATAGGTTAAAAAGATAAAAATAATTTAATTTTTTTAATTTATTAAAATTAATGGTTAAAAAATATAAATTTATCTTTTATGTATATGTGTATATGAGTAAATAGCACATGATTATTAAGCTTTGAGTTAAATTTTATTTAGTCTTTAATTTTTAAAAACTTTTAATTAGGTTTTTAATTTTTAAAGTTATCTTATTTTAATTTTTTTTGTCTATAAAATCATATAATTTAACGATAAATATTAACTAATATCACATGTATGGAGTTAGTGGGCATCTAACATAGCAAATGAATGAATGAAAATAAAATTTTATTCAAAGTTTAAGGACTAATGATATTTTATCCCCTAATTTTTTATGTATTTTATAATATATTAGGCTTAAAATAATATTTTATATTTTGTTATTATATAATTTATTAGTTAAATATTTTTTATTTCTAATAGAAAATAAATTTTCAAAAATTAAAATTAAGTTTAAATATCAAGATCCTTTTTCAAAATTTCATATCATTTTAAAAAAAAATTATTTTTTTAAAAATATTATTTCATAGATAAATAATAGTAGAGAATATTAATTTCTACAAAAATTCTATTTTCTCTTAAAAATACTAGATATCATATTCTTCTTCCTTTTGCAAATATATTTTCTATAACAAAAAAAATTAAAAATTAAAAATTAAAATTAAAACAAAATAAGTATAAAAAATTACTTTTATATTTAAAATATAATTTATAAATTATTATAATTTAAAATATTTTTAGTTTTTGTTATGATGTGATTTTAAGTAAAATAATATTTTTATAGAAAATAATTTTTTAAAAATTAAAATTAAGTTAAAAATTAAAAGTCCTTTTAAAAAATTCGATATTATTTTAAAATATTAAGTAAAAATTTTCATATCATTTCAAAAAATAGATGTATTAATCTATTCAAAAATTTATTTTTTATCCAAAAAAATCTATGCTGAATCTATTTTCTATAAAAATTTTATCTTTATATAAAATAAAAATATTATTTTCAATTATATGATTTTTTTCTTATTGGATTGACAATGTAAAGAACTTTCTAATTGTCTTTTTTTTTTTTTAATTTTTTATAAATATAATAATTTAATGAAGAATAAATTCAAAAATAGTTTTTTTCAATAGAAAAAAAATTATGAATAGATTAATATATTGATTTTTTAAAATGTTTTAGAAAGTTTTATTTGATATTTTAAAAAGATTTGAAGTTTTTTATTTAATTTTTTAAATCGATACAGACAATTCTACATAATTTTTTAAAATGATATAAAAATTTTTCAAAAGAATTTTGAAAATTTGAAGTTAATTTTAATTTTTGAAAATATATTTTCTATTAAACTAAAATGTTAACTAATAAATTATATTATAATAAAAATATAAAAATAATATTTTAAATTTAATATTATATAAAATATTTCTAAAATATAAAAAATCGAGATAGTAATATCTTTGATCCTTAAACTTTGAGTGAAATTTTATTTTAATCATTTCATTTGTCATGTGAGATGTCAATTGGCATTATCCACGTGACACGTTAAATGACTTCATAAACGTAAGGATCAAATTAAGACAACTTTAAACACTTGGGGATTTAATACTATTAACTCATATATATATATATAATATTAATCAATAAACTTAAACACGTTGCATAATTAAAAATTATCATGAAAGTATGATAGTAATTTATTATTGGATAACAATTATAATGTTGAATAAAAAAAATTAAAGCGCAAGTATAAATAAGTAATTTAAAGGATAAATTGGATTGATTTTAAATTCTTTCTAAAATAAGAGTTGAATAAATATAAATAGGAAAGTAACAATTTAATAAATAAATATATATAAATTTGATTATGTGTAGAGAATATTTTAACACCTCACAATACCCATTCTAATGATAATATCAATTAATTATGTGTTATTTTAATATTAATATTAATTTAAGGGTCTTATTTATTTATTTTTGTTTTTTTTATGTTATTAATTAATCTAAAATTTATTTTATAAAAATTTATTTTATTGGAAAGTTTCTAAAAATATTCTTCCTAATAGACTTGATAAAATTATTTTGGAAAATTCTTCACCTAGGAATTCTCGAGATGATCACTTTCATGTTCCTTTCTTAATTCATCATAAGGTGAATATGATTTACAATTAAAATTACATGATGAAATAATCACATTACCTTATTTACAAAATTTTAAAATAAATATCACAACACATAAAAAAGGGTTAAATAAATAAATAAACCAAATATATAAGAAAAAGTTAGATAATAAATAAATCAATTAAGTTACTAAAAAAAATAGAAAAGAAAAGAAAAAAAAGTTAGAAATGTAAACAAAAGTTAGATAACAAATAAATTACTTATTAAAAAAAATAAAAAATAAAACAAAAACCGAAAAACCAAAAGAAAATAGAAAAAAAGAAACCTATCGATCGAGTAGGGTTTCATGGAGTCAGTATGCAAATCCTACTAGGTTAAGACATGGATCTTCAAATTTTTGCGCCCAAAAAAGTGACATTCCAGCCAAGGCATTTAAGCAAAAAACCTTTTTTTCCTTTTGCTTTTGCCTTTCTCCTTCTTCATCTAGATGCATTCTCTCTTACCTCTGACCTCTGTCTATGAATCTTAGTTATTGACATAAGAATCTTCAAAGGAGTGCCATAAAAAATTCAAGATTTGGACAAAATCTTCAATGCAAACTTCAAAACCCATTAAAAAATTCAAGATTTTTTAGAAATTTTTAGAAAAAAAAACTCAAAGTTTTCCTATTCTTCTAAACTCCCGAAATTCTTTAGCCAAATTATTTCTCCTAAGATCTAGCTTGAGAATCTAAATCAAACTAATTCCAAACAAATCACACTGTCAGAAACCAAAATTGAACTTTTTTTGCCCACTAATTGCTATCTATTGATTCTAACTCCCTTTAATCTCTATAACTAAGCCTAGATATAAAACTAACCCTAGAATTTCACCACTAAGAATTTATCAAATAAAACATTGCTGAATTATATTTTTTCTTTGCCTATTTCCTTCATCATTGTTGATTGATTTTTCTATGTACTTGTCTGGATTCTTTAAATAGTGATCTAATGGAACAAAAACTTCTCCTAATTACTTTCACAAGGATTTGGCTGTAGAGTTTAACTTTAATTGCATTCGAGTCTCTCCAAAAAATCAACCCAAATATATTATACATTTGATTATAATTTTTAATCCAACCAAAAGTGTAGCAAAAATTTAAATTCCAACATAATTCCAAGAATTTTATCCAATCTGGTTCTCCATTTTGTAATTTCAACTTTTTTTAAAACAAGCAAAATAAAAAAAATGAGAAATAAAAAAATAAAATAGATAAAAGAGGATTAATTTATATTAGTTTTATACTATTTTAAAATAGTGAATTTAATAAAATTAAGAGATAAGAGAGATAAGTTAAAAAGACAAAAAAATAATTTAATTTTCTCTTTTCAATATATTAAAATCAATGGTTAAAAAATATAAATTGATCCTTTATATATATATATATATGTATATATGTATATGAGTAAATAGCACATGGTTGTTAAGTTTTGAGTAACATTTTATTTTAGTCTTTAATTTTTAAAATGTTTTAATTAGGTCTTTAATTCACAAAGTTATTTTATTTTGGTCTCTCTATCTATAAAATCATTTAAATTAAGGATAAATGTTAATTGATATCACATGGATGGAGTTAGTTGGCATCTAACATAGCAAACGAATGAATCAAAATAGAATTTTATTTAAAGTTTAAGGACTAATGATGTTCTATCCCTAATTTTTATACATTTGATTCTGATTTTTAATCCAACCAAAAGTGTAACAGGAATTTTAATTCCAACATAATTCCAAGAATTTTATCCAATCTAATTATCCATTTTGTAATTTCAACTTCTTTTTTTTTTAACAATCAGAATAAAAAAATGAGAAATAAATAAAATAAAATTGAAAATTAAAAATAATTAAATCTAACTAAAGCCCTAAACAAAATTGGATCTCTATAGTTGCTCTTCTTTGTAAGTTTAGGTCATAATCTAACAAAACATATATTTTTTAAAAGATTCCTTTAAATAGGGACTCAATAACTTTAAAATTTAAAAGGTTCCTCTAAATAAATACTTAAAAACTTTGAAAATTTAAAAGGTTTCTCTAAATAGAGATTATGAAACTTAAAAAAAAAAAAGGGTAAAAGATTTCTCTAAACACAGGTTCGATAATTTTGAAAATTTAAAATATTTCTCTAAACAGGGGTTATGAACTTCAAATTTTAAAATTTTGATTAAAGTTATAAATTGGATTGAGTCAAAGTCTGAAAATAAAATGAGCTGGACTGAGCTGAAGTCTAAAAGTGAAATGATTCAAAATTTTAAATTTAAAGATTCACAATTAAAGTTAAAGATTCACATTTGAAAATTTTCAAAAATTCACATCTAAAATATCAAGTTTTGAATTTGAAAAATTTAGAGATTCACATAAAAAATTCAAAGATTCACTTTTGAAAAATTTTATAGATTGACATTTAAAATTCAAAGTTTGCATTTGAAGAAATTTTAGAGATTCACATCTAAAATTCAAAAGTTCACATTTAATAGATTTAGAAATTCACATATGAAGTTAAAGATTCATATTTGAAAAATTTTAGAGATTCACATCTTACATTCAAATATTCACATTAGAAAATTTTAGAGATTCATATTTAAAATTAAAAGATTCTCATTTGAAAAATTTTAGAAATTCACATATAGAATTCAAAAATTCTCATTTGAAAATTTTACAGATTCACTTTTAAAATTCAAAGATTCATATTTGAAA